AGGATTTAAACCCAGACAAAAGGCCACTGTCACATGGTAAACTATGGCTGTCACATAGTGTACTACGTGGGGTACGAAGTGACACTTTGACTTTGCCCATTCAACTCGCGATAACTCAGCAACCAAAACAGATAAATTAGAAATCTCAACAGAAATTAAGGTGAAGAATCATTTTGTTCACATGTCTACTTATGGATGTAATGTGATTGGTGTTATTGGGTTGACGGGCATTTAACAAAAAACCGTCACATAGTACCCCACCTTCCCTTACGACCGCACAGTCTTCTCCGTAGGACCTGGAAGACTGTATAGTCCTACGGAGAACACTGTGAGGTCCTACGGAGAATACTGTGTGGTCCTACGGAAAATACTGTAAAAGCTTACGCAGAATATTAACAAGGGGGCTACGGAGGATTACCACAAGCTGTTAACAGAATTTTCCGTAGCTTTTTGCCACAGTGTACCCGACCATTTTGTGGCAAGACTTTTTTGTCTGACTAAATTTTGGCGAGACTTTCTGGTTTGACCAAAACTTGGCCTCGCCTATGGAGTGGCGAGGAGTCTGACCGTTGGATTTGTAGTGCTGGAAGACATTCTCAGTACGCTAGCTGCTTGGCCAAACGTTGCGCCCACACCGTTCTTTGCTTCGTTTTCTCTCAAGGGGCAAAGAACGAGATTATTGTCACATAACGCTTACTGTTACTAGCTCCTGTACGAAAACCTTGCATTTGAAGTGTTGTCCCTCATACAGCAAAGTCCTAAAAAATTGCCTTTTTTCGCAGGGACTCTATACCATTTACGAAACAGTTGACTGGATTTTCCCGTACGTCCCGATTCTGCCTTACGGACGCTACAGGTTCCGAATGGTATCCCGGGTCGGAAATGACACTGGCCCAGTCCATCTATGTGCGAACGTTGACTGCCAGGTCATTCCAAAGGCATAGACACCACCGTCGTTGTAATTTTCGTCGTTATTTCGATTAAGAAGGGTGCATTACGTGCACTAATTGCAACCGAAAAGCACCAATCAGAAATCGCTTATCAGAGCTGCACGAAAAAAAAATCTATAATTTACAGCGTGTTGTAAGTGGCTTTGAAACTCGAAGCTGTTGCGTTGTTAATAAAGGTTTATCTCACTCAAATTTGGATATCTTGTTCCTCGGAATCATTCTGACGCCCTCAACCAAACATAAAATCAGCATTGCGTGAAAAATTTCTGCCTTTAAACGGAATAATAGGTGACATAAAACAAGGCGTACACTCTCAGACTGTAATTGCTTTTTTGTCCTTTCGTGAAGAGTATTTTACACAGCAATAAAAAGTACTATTTCCTCAATGTCTATGGATTTCATTCGTTGTATTGACTTAAAGTTAATTTGCTATTGACAAAGAGCCAACATGCAATTGACGTCCAAAATACACTCTCAATCCAGGAACGTGACATCACGTTGAAACGAACGTGACAAAATGTCACTTTCGTTTGAGCATTGTGTCACTTGTTTGGGTGTGAATTGGCCAAAAATCGGCTTGTTCACATTCAAACGAACGTTGTAACGTTCCTGGAATGAGAGTGTAGTCAATAATTGATGACAAGGTAGTCTTTAAAGTGAACAATATTGCACATGGTTACAAAGGGAATACTACATATTATTGCTGCTTAAGGGGAGGTTCTACTGAAAAAATGGCGATTTTTGACAAAAATTGCGAATTTGTGTTTCGGGCAGTTTTTGCATCCTTGGACCTTGCTGAACCTAGGGAAATGTCCAGATCGACCCTCAGATTTTTTTTCCGGCCTCTACAGCCAATTTTGTAAAACAGTGCAAAATGTCTAAATTGCTCAAAATTGCGGTTTGCTCCTTTTTGAGGCTGAACGGTCGCGCGCCTGTAAGGTAGGCAACACATTCAGCTCGGCTGCTCAGCGCGGCTGTCCAGCGCTCCCTCCCGGCCCAGAGGCCATAGAGCGACTGGTGCTGCTCCCTGGCGGCAGCTCTCGAAGCGCTCTCCCCCCCCCCCTTTCCCCTTTCCTGCTCCTGCACACACACACACTACTCTGTTCTGTAAGCCTGTCGACTGTTTGGAACGTGGAAACGCAACAAAATGCATGGAGTTCATTCGAGATGGAAGAAACCGAAGGCAAAGAAGCCTACTGGGAGAAAAAGTACCGCGAATTCCCAGAATGCCTCCAAGCGGTGGGAAGCTGAAAAAGCTCGAAAACTTCAATCAGTGGAGAAGAGCAGCTCTACACATGTTGACGAGGTTAGGGTTTCGGAAGCCGGTCCCTCCACACAGTCAACAACCCAAAGAAAGTTGGATTTCTTCAGAGACGAAGGCCAAGTAGCGACTAAGACGGACCAGACGCCTACCAAGTCGGATTACTTCATAGTTCACAAAGAGTTTTGGGACGCTGCAATGGGAGCTGCTGTCTGCAAGACTTGCCGCCATGGTCAGTTGAGTCTGGACTTCAAAGAAAGCCATGGTTTTGTGAAAAAGGTGGTTATCAGATGTTCTGTCTGTGATTGTGCTGTGTGGCAAAGCTATACAAGTCCTAGGGTTGCTAATGTGGATGGCTCTGAGAGCACAAGGCCTCCCTTTGTATGCAACAGGAAAATTGTTGATGCGTTCTTGGACATAGGAACAGGTGCGTATGAAGCTCATTTGTTTGTTTTTGTGGCATAAAATACGGAGTTAGTTATTTTTTTTTACTTTGTGTAGGTTATGCTGGATTGTTGAGATTTTCTGCGGCCATGTCAATGGACTCCATGTCAATTCAAGCCTACATGAATCACCTGGGAAAATTAGCTATAGAAAATGAAGCGTAAGTGCCACTTTCCTTCTTCCATCAGCACTCAGACCTATGTATGTGTAAATTCTAACTCCAATTTCTTTTCCTTTTGTTACAGAGTCAAAGAAGAAATTCTGTCTCTTGCCCGCCAAGCTGTGAGGAAAGCGCACGAGCTTGAGAATCCAGATCTCTGCCATCAAGAAGTTATTGATGTTGATGTTTCATTTGATGGCTCGTGGCCCAAACGTGGCCACACATCACTTGTTGGTGTTGTTTCAGTGATCGACATTTTGACTGGCTTGGTTATTGATTTTCATATTATGTGTAAATATTGTCATGTTTGTGCTGTGAGAAAAATTGAACTTGGTGAAGATTCCAAAGAGTTTAAAGAGTGGGAGAAGACACACAAGGACAGTGGTGAATGTGATATAAACTATAACGGTTCTGCTCCATCAATGGAAATGGGCGGTGCTGAAGTGTTGTGGAATCGATCTATTGAGAAGAACAAGATGAGGTATACCACTGTGTTGTCGGATGGAGATTCTAAAACAATCAGTCACTTGAATCAGACTGTGCAGCCTTATGGTGAAGATGTTGTAATAGAAAAAGAAGAATGCTTGAACCACCTATCAAAGAGAGTTGGTACTGGCCTTAGAAAATTGGTGACCGATGAGAAGGCTAGAGGTGTCACTCTGGGTGGAAGAAAAGCCGGCTCTCTGAAGGACTCAACTATTACTAAGCTGCAGTCATACTACCACAAAGCTGTCAAAGAAAATATGCCTGATGTTGCGGCCACCAAAAAAGCAATTTTTGCTACCTTGGAACATATGAATTCCACTGACAACAAACCGAGGCATTCCAAGTGTCCGAAAGGTACCAACAGCTGGTGCTTCTTCAATAGAGCTAAGGCCAAGAAGGAGAAACCAAAATCTCATAGTGACATGAGTGTCAGCTTAAATGATGAAGTTTTCAAGAAAATAAAACCTGTTTATGACAGGTTAAGTGACAAGTCTCTTATGTCAAGATGTTCAAGACTAGCAACACAAAATTCTAATGAGTCATTGCACAGTGTTCTCTGGAATAAATGTAAGAAGGAAACATTCTATTCTAAAAGAAAATATGAGCTCGGTTTGACCAGAGGAATTGGGGAATTCAATATGGGACTGAGAAAACTTCTGGAAGTTAGGAGAGATTGTAGCTCAGCTGACAACAGCGAGGAAAGTGAAACTGAAGAAGGTGATTCCACAGCCGAAGATTCCACAGATGAAAAAACTGAAGCAGCAGGAGCAGATGTTGTCATAGGCCTTTCAATTGCTGACCGCATTGACAGGAAGAGGACATTGCAGAGTAGTCAACAGCAAGTTAGAACTAAGAGAAGAGCAGTAAAGAAAGTCCAGAAGAAAATGCTTGCATCAAAGACCAAAAAATCAGAGGGTGTTACCTATGAAGCAGGAGGGTTTTGATTGTAAATTCCCATTGTTAAATGTTATTTTATTGATAATGATTGCTTTCTAAGCTTCCTTTTCTTTTAAAAAGACCCAAAACTAATTTATGCTATGTTATACAGCATGTATTAAAGTGTTGATTGTCCGGAAGAATGATTGTTCTTGAATTTCTCTTTCTGCCACTTTGACCCTTGTTTTCTCGAAAGTAGTTTTTCTTGACTTCAAAAGTTCGCCTACGCAAAACGGTTTGGACTATCATGCTGAAATTTTGCGTGGGTTCTCACCCACATATTAGCTTCAAACCGTGGCATCCGGGTCAAAATGTGACCCACCATTTCCTTTCACAGAGGTGTACTTTACTAAAAAATGGCAAAATTTATGATTTTTAAAAATTTTAATTTTTAGCGTGTATTAATTCAGAAATGGCTTCACATTTTGAGTTGGGTATGCCACCATTTGTTCTTTAGGGTAAGATGACTCATTTGGCTTGTACGTGACCAGCTCACTCAAAACACTTTGCGTACAGAATTTTTGCCCGAAACACCTTTTTTTAGTCAAAAATTGTCGTTTTAACCCAAATACGTGACTCAAAAATCTGAAATTTTTTTTTTAAGCTATCTTAACATAGTCCTAACAATCCACTATCAAACAAAGTTCATAGTGCCTTTACTTTAGAAAATAGCATTTTCAGTAGAACCTCCCCTTAAAAAAAACTACGTAAGCAAAGGACAAAAAGTCAATAATGATGAGAAAAAAGTGAATACGAGTCAGAGTGTAGAATAGATTTCTGAGCGGAATCGGACGGTCAGGTTTATTTTGTTCGCTTCGGGGAAGCATTCACAGTCCCTTAACAGCAGATGTCGGCACTCATGGCGTTCTTGAGGCAGTCCACAGCAAAGGAGACGTACTCTTCACTGGCGTAGCCGCCCAAGCAGTACTCCAGATACTCGGGAGCCTCGCTGATGTCGCAGCTGGCCCTCTTCTTGTCGAACTGCCTGGAGACGTACCGCGCGCACAGCCATTTTGGGTCCGCGTACCTCTCGGCTGGAACGTTCCTCGCGCAAATCTCGATCTGCTTTTCGAGGTTGTCTATAGCCGAGCTGTCGCAGGCAGACAGGGCAGTGGCCATCTGCGGATCAAATCAGAGGTGTCCATTATTGAAAGCCGCGCACTGCAAGAAAATGTGTGAATATGTAGTACAAAACACACTGAGAAAATTTGTTGTCACTTTATGACAAAAACGCGGATGATAGTATCATCACTTTCAAATCATACAATCTCGTCACAAATTGATGACATTTTCATCAAAGCTCCTATACTTATTGCATGGGCGTGACAACAATGTCATCAATTGACTTGATGACATTAATGTAAGGAAAATTAGCCTGGAAATTGTCATCAAGTGCCGACTCAAATTTTCACAGTGTGCTTGGTTTCACAGTGCCAGACTTACGACGAGGCAGGCAGCAAGGGCCAAGGCGAACACAGTGGACTTGGCGGCCATGACTGAAGTTTGACGAGGCTCAGCAGGTGAGACTGTTGCCCTCGTCTTTGGCAGCTGCCTTTTAAAAGGATATCGAGTGTTCTGGACTTGCCTCTCGACCTTATCTGCACCGCTCCTCGAAAGCCCTGACGCTACTCTGCCCTTCAAGTGTGTGCATGCACTCTCAGTCTCGTATTGACTTTTTATCTCTTGTACTATTTTCTCTTCAGTTGTGCACTATTTTGTTCATTGTACAATGTATTTAGTCCATTAAACCAGACTTTTTGTCATTTGCAATGTGCTTTTAAATTTCTACATGATCTATTGACAATGTTATCTTTAAAGATCAAAATTGTGTATAGTTAGAGAGACAAGTACATTTTACGTAAGAGTGAAAAAAGTTACAAGCAAGGGAGGAAAATGTCCATCTAGGTCTGAGGGTGTGGCACACACTTAAAAACGTATGCAGGCCTGTGTGAATCTGCAGGCACACTGTTGGAAACACTGCAAAGCCGGTGGTAAGTTTACTTGCCACAAATTTGGCAAGCCGTTTTGAATGCCAAAATTTCGCAAGCTTGTGAATATTTCCGACCAAAGCTTGCCAAATTTGTGGCAAGTAAACTTACCACTGGATTTGCAGTGAACTGTATGCTTGCCAGGCACACACTTAAAACAGCGTGCCTGACCGGTACTGCATGGGCCGGGCCCTGGACACACTGTGTGTGCCTCCAGGCAGACTGTTTAAAAAGTGTGTCTACAGGTAAACATTTTAAGGTGTGTGTGCCATGCACTCACTTGCGTTTGCAGTGTATGCTTCCAAGATGGAGTCTGGTGCATTTTGCTCTGAACGATTTTGAATCGAGTTTGCAAAAGAAATTATTAAACAAAACTATGCACGACATAAACGGTTCCTGATTTTCTGAGGTCTCAAGACGTGGGGACATGGACCCTGGTAAAACCACGAGCCGGTTTGGCCGTGTGGTTTTACAGAGTGTAAACGATTTGCGATGGCGTGAGTGGGTTTATGGGAAGTTGCCAACACTTTTATAATTCCATAACACATCAACCCTCTTAATTCCACGATCTTATCAAATCCTACCCGTTCCGTACATTAACAGAAAGGAAAGAGGCGTAGCAGACCAAAAAATCTCAATGCTAACGCAATGCACGGTGTTCCGTTCCGGTCGTGGAAATCAATTTGAAGTCTAAACGTTAATTACGTTAATTCGAGGGGGCCACCACTCTCATTTCAGGCGTACACAAGATTACGGGATTTCGGGAAATTTACTGGGGATTACGCGTGAAATTTTCGAAAATTGGTTCGAAAACGTTGAAAAATAGCTCAAAAACGTTGAAAAATGACTAAAAACGGTGAAAAATGACACAATTTTGTCAAGGATTACGTGATTACGCCATGGATTACCAGAGATTACCAGCCAATTTGTACACAGGATTACGGGGGTGGTGGCCCCCTCGGGTAGACCACCGGCGATTTCGCTCTCCTTTTGGCTTAAATAGTGCCTTCCCATAGGTCAACACCCCCACAAAATTTCAGCCATCTCAGGCAATTATTAGAGTAGGGTAAACTATACAGTTATCGGCAGGGGTACAATTATCGTCATTTTGGCGAATAATTGGGTCTAGGGCTGGGCGGTTACTGGATTTTAAAACCGGTTACCGGTTAATGAAATTAACCGTTTTCCGACCGGTTATCGGTTATTATTTTTTAACCGGTTATTTCAACATTACCGGTTATTTTAGAATAACCGGTTATTTTGGAATAACCGGTTATTTTGGAATAACCGGTTATTTGAAAGTAACCTGCCACTTTTGAATAACCGGTAATTTTATTTATGGAGTTAAAAGTAAACGAATGCACGTTTTCAAAACACAGCAGGGCTGATAAGTCAGGTTAGAAAATCTACGGTTTTGAGATGAACTCTCTTCATTTGCAGACACGAAAATGATCTGTTTTGCATGCTCCCCCGCTAGAAACGTTCGCCAAAGTTTTATAACTAGTCTATCCTGGCTGAATAGCCGCTCAGATTCAATTGGGGACACCGATTCTGCTGGGTAATTTCTGCGAGGGAGGGCGACGTCTGCCCTCCGGTTAACCGGACTAACCGATTAACCTGACTACCGGTTATGCTGGAAACGGTTAATTGATATTAACCGGTTACACCTATAACCGGTTAATTCAAAAATCTTTAACCGAAAAACCGGTTAGTGAAAATAACCGGAAAATTAACCGGTTAACCGCACAGCCCTAATTGGGTCCTGCTCTGTAAGTACGCGTCCGTTCGTGATGGGGCCAATGCAGGTCGCATTTTGAGCATGCATTACCGAGACAGCATCGCGTTTGATTGAGCATGTCAGCCAACAGAGCCACGTTTCTTGTCAAGTGCAGAATGAGACCGCTTCGGCCGCCCGTTCTTATCTTCTATGCTAGGAACAGGGGTTCAATCTTTCGTTAAATTCGTGAACGTGGGCCGGAAAAAACTATTCTCCTTGCAAGGTTCTTTCTCCCCATCTATTGAAGAGGGCATACTGTGCTTGGCGCACTAAAATTCCTCTTGCTTGTCCTCAATCGGGGGGTGCCGATAACTGTACCCAAGAAATCACCCCAAACACAGTTATCGTCAGGGTGGCCTCAAACTTCACTGCTGTTTCGGGCGTCGTTGGGGAGTTAATATTCTGGTGCATTAAGACCATAGGAGGACCCCTACCAAATTTGAACGAAATCGGATCACTTTTTCCCAGTGATCTACGTGATGTCCTCCTCGGTGCTTTGGAAGGTTGTTATTTCGCAACTCATGGTGCTGGTTGTCTGTGAGTCTAAAATGAAGGGCCCAAGAGGCATGAAATAAGAGAGAGGGGGTTCGTGACATGTCGAGGGATAATATAGAGTGCCTGTGAGGACTGTTAGAAATTTTCGTCACTTTCGGTCATGTTTTGCCTTTTTAACAAGGGGTGCCGATAACTGCCATATTGGGTGCCGATAACTGTATTTTGGCTGCCGATAACTGTGTTTTAGGTAACCATTTTCTCAGGTCAAATAAGAGCGACACAAAAAGTTTTTCGTGAAATCTTTGTCAGCCACTACGTTGACTAGCTCCTTCTAAGGTGTCTGGAACAAGTCGCGCGGGTCTAAATGTCATAACCTACCCGAGAGGCCCTCGAAAAGAAAGTGATGCTCTTAAACTGACGGTAACTGTATACTTTACCCTAACTGTGAACAATTAAAGTTTCGGGCTAGTTTACCACTAGGCTTAGGTGGTTTTGGGCCCAGAAACTCTTTTACTACTATCTCTATGTGATCAGCACTTCTTGAAACGCCTTTTCTGTTGTTTAAGCTCAAACCTTGAAGATATAATTCAGTGAGACTCAAAAATGATCTTCAGTAGTTTAAATTAAACTTAACTTTGACATCAAAACTTCTTTTACATCTTACAATCTGACTTCTCTATTCTCTCTCTTCATCGAGGTAAACATTCTGAAGACCAACATCCACAGAACATCAATAGCATCAGGCAAAAGAACATCGTAAACACAAAAGACACACTTCTACAAAATGATACCAATATTGACATTACAACACTTCCCCTCATCGTTTTCTTTGGCACATTGCTCACTGAAGATGAAAGAAAATATTTTTTATTGAACGCTTGTGAACTAAATACACTGTCAGAAAAAAAGTCCGTAAATTTACGGAGAAAGTTACTCTAATTTTGGGAATGGAGGCTCCGTAAATTTTCCATATATTTACGGAGATTTTCCATATTTTTACGGAGATTTTCCGTATTTTTACGGAGATGAACAGCATTTTTGCAGACGCATTTTAACGGTTTACTTCCCTCCTTACACCTTCGATGTTAATGCAAACAGTGTCCTTTAAGACGAAAGTGATATTCTCAAAAACTGATTGAAGATCCACTTGACCACATGCCAGTAGGATCGGATAAATGGACGGAAACCCATAGGCGAGGTCGCTTTAGGGAAGGCGTACTCTTGGAACACTTAATCAGTTGGTCACCCAACCCATCGATAAGGTGAATTAGTCTGTTCTTTTTGATAAGTAAGGCTTCTATTTCATTTATATACATAACTTCCATATTTTTACGGAGAAAATCCATAATTCAAAAAAACGGAGATCTCCGTTAAAAAAAATGGACAGTCTCCGTTAAATTTCCGTATTTTTACGGAGTTTTCTGACAGTGTATACAATTACAAATAAAGCAAAGTGAACAAAATGCTTCTTACAAAATTGATCACTCATTATGACAAGTTTGGTAAAAATGTCAGCAAGATTATCGAAAGTAGACCCCTGTAAAATCCGGAGTTCGAATTGGATCTCCCTCCTACGGTGTTTCGGCAGTCCGATGAAAGGAACCCAGAAAATAAAGTTTGAGCGCGATCCGAGATGGTCGCCAGCGAAGTGGTTTTTTGGTCTGGAACGCCTCAAACTTCAATTCAGTGTACCCCAGGGAAGTGACCTGAACTATCGTCCATGTTCACAATATACATTGACTGCCCCACCCCAAGTCAGGGGGCTGCGGCCGCAGCCTCTGCACCCGCCTGTTGGTGCAACTGTACCCGTCCCCTGGCGATCAGCTGACTCATCACGGCTCACGAGCCCGCCAATGTTTTTCCTGAAAATGGGCATGAATCAGTGTGCTCAACAGATAGGGTACTCACGGACGACATTGGACTACGCTGTCAGGGGACCTAATCTTTGGAAACCACTTTGTGGGCATCTCAGGTGCACTGTTCAAAAAATCCATCGTTATTAGAGAAATTTTTTTATGAAGCAGTTTCAAAGACTCTTTAGCAGTAAAAGTAATAAACTTTTTTCTTCTTGAAAAGTACGAACCAAATTTGAAAAGCAAAAAAATCTGTTTATGAAATGTTGTTTTAGCATTTAAAAAGAATTTAAGATAAATTGTGGAAAAATTCAGCCCCGTATGTACGTTATGAGTTACTAATAGTAATTCTAGTGGATTTGACTGTCGAAGTTACTCGGAAGCGCGGTAGTAGCTCGGTCTTGAACCCGGGTTTCCGAATTACTGCACCGCGACGCTACCAACTGCGCCATGAGTGAGCAAAGTTCTCGCACATTAAAAAAAGATT